TACTTGTATGTTGGAATTCTTAGAGCAGCAGGCAAATCTAAACCTGCTAACGGAATGTGAGGTCAACTTCTAAAGCATAACAAAACAAACACATAAATTAAACAGCAATCATTACTAGAGCTGTAAAAGATGAACCGGCCCGAATTACCGACTCAAACCCGATTATTAACCGACCCATCTGAATCCGAAAAAATGGTGACCCAAACCCGACCTGAAACCAACCCTAGACCCGAGTTGACCCGAGTATGTTCCGAACCCGAACATGAACTGACGTGCAGATGACCCGACCCGAATGTAACCCGTAAATTATTGACCTGAATCGAACTTGAATTAAACCGAAATTGACCCCAAACCCGTTTTAACCCGTAAAAACCTGAATTTAACCTGACTTGTTACTAATCTGACCTGAATTCAACCCGAACTGTTCCTAACTCAACCAATTTCAAGACTTTCGATACCGGGCCCCGAAACCTCCAAAATTTGTCAAAAAGCGTGGATATTAGTATTCAATTTTGAATTTTTTTTCGTCCGGAGATAAAAATTGCCGAAATGTTTACCATGGTCTCTAATATCCTTCGGGAGTCCAACTGGGTTGGTGGAACCACCCAATTTGCCTTTAAACGGCCAATTTACCGGTTTACAACTTGCAAGAATTTCATTAACTCAAGCATACTACGAATATTTATGACAACAATTAATGATCATATATGGTTCCAAACGGAATTATATAACCCCGAGATGTATCCCCTATAATCTAAAGGTTTTTCGACAACGGGCCCCGAAACCTCCAAAATTTCTCAAAAAGCGTGGATATTAGACTTCTATTTTGAAATTTTATTGACTTTTTTTCGCCCGAAAATAAAAATTGACGAAATGTTTACCATGGTTCCTAATACCCTCCGAAAGTTCAATTGGGTGGGTGGAACCATCTAATTTGCCTTTAAACGACCAATTTACGCCGGTTTACAACTTTCACCGATTTCATTAACTCAAGCCTACCACAAACATTTATGATAACAAATAATGATCCTATATGGTTCCAAACAGCATTATATGACCCCGAGATATATCCCTTAAAATTTCAAGACTTTTCGACGCTGGGCTCCGAAACCTCCAAAATTTCTCAAAAACTGTGGATATTAGCCTTCAATTTTGAAATTTTTTTGACTTTTTTCGTCCAGAAATAAAAATTGTCGAATTGTTTACCATGGTCCCTAATACCCTCCGGGAGTCCAATTGGGTGGATGGAACCATCAAATTTTCCTTTAAATGACCAATTTACCTGTATACAACTTGCACCGATTTTATTAACTCAAGCCTACCACGAATATTTATGACAAAAAATAATGATCATATATGGTTCCAAATGACATTAAATGACCCTGAGATATATTCCCTAGAATCTCAAGGCTTTTCGATATCGGGTCCCGAAATCACCAAAATCTCAAGCCTTTCTTTTTGGAATTTTTAGACTTTTTTCGCTCGGAAATAATAATTGCCGAAATGTTTACCATGGTCCGCAATATCCCTTGGGAGTCCAATTGTGGGTGGAACCATCCAATTTTCCTTTAAACGACCTATTTAATTACAGGTTTATAACTTGTACCGATTCAATTAAATCAAACCTACCACGAACATTTATGACAACATATAATGATCATATATGGTTCCAAACATCATCATATGATCCCGAGATGTATTCCCTAAAATCTCAAGGCTTTTCGACACCGTTCCCCAAAACCTCCAAAATTTCTCAAAAAGCGTGGATAAAAGCCTTCAATTTTGGAATTTTTTTTGACTTTTTTCCGTTTGGAAATAAAAATTGCCGAAATGCTTACCATGGGCCCTAATATCCTCCGGGAGTCCATTTGGGTTGATGGAACCATCCAATTTACGTTTAAACGGTCAATTTACCGGTTTATAACTTGCACGGATTTAATTAACTCAAGCATACTACGAACATTTATTACAACATATAATGATCATATAGGATTTCAAATGACATTATATGACCTCGAGATGTATCCTTTAAAATATCTAGGCTTTTTTGCACTGGGCCCCGAAACCTCCAAAATATTTCATAAAACGTGGATATTAGCCTTTAATTTTGGAATTTTTTGACTTTTTTTCGCCCGGAAATAAAAATTTCCAAGTTTATCATGGTCCTTAATATATTCCGGGAGTCCAATTGGGTGTGTGGAACCATCCAATTTGGTGTTAAACAGCCAATTTACCGGTTTACAAATTGCAACGATTTCATTAATTCAAGCCTACCACGAACATTTATGATAACAACTAATGATCATATATGGTTCCAAGCGGTATTATACGACCCCGAGATGTATCCCATATAATTTCAAGACTTTTTGACACTGGGCTCCGAAACCACCAAAATTTCTCAAAAAACTTGGATATTAGTCTTCAATTTTGGAATTTTTTGTATTTTTTCCGTCCGGAAATAAAATTTTCCGAAATGTTTACCATGATCCCTAATATCCTCCGGGAGTCCAATTGGGTTGGTGGAACCATCCAATTTGCCTTTAAACGGCCAATTTACCGGTTTATAACTTTCACGGATTTCATTAACTCAAGCATACTACGAACATTTATGACAACATATAATGATCATATATGGTTCCAAACGGCATTATAGGACCCCGAGATGTATCCTTTAAATATCAAGACTTTTCTACACTGGGTCCCGAAACCTCCAAAAATTTTCAAAAAACGTGTGGAACCATCCAATTTGCTGTTAAACGACCAATTTACCGGTTTACAACTTGCACCGATTTCATTAATTCATACCTACCACGAACATTTATGACAACAAATAATGATCATATATGGTTCCAAACGGTATTATATGACCCTGAAATTTATCCCTTAGAATTTCAAGACTTTTTGACACCGGGCCCCGAAACCTCCATATTTCTCAAAATGCTTGGATATTAGCCTTCAATTTTAAAGATTTTTGACTTTTTTTTGCCCGGAAATTGCCGAAATGTTTACCACGGTCCTTAATAACCTACGGGAATCTAATTGGGTGTGTGGAACCATCCAATTTGCTGTTAAACGATCAATTTATCGGTTTACAACTTGCACCGATTTACCGGTTTACAACGACGATTTTAATTACTTTGCACCAAATCGACTTGAACCGAAATTGGCCTTAACCCGTTTTAACCCGTCAAAACCCGAATTTATTCCGACTTGTTACTAACCTGACCTGAATTCAGCTCAACCCGTTTGTAACCTGACTCGAATTTAACCCAACCTATTATAAACCCGACCCGAAATCAACCCGACTTGTTATTAACCTGACCCAGATTCAACCCGACTTGTTATTGACCCGACCCGAATTTTACTAAACCTATTACTTACCCGACCCAAAAATTTAACCCAACTCGAAATTAACACGACTTGTTATTGACTAGACCTAAATTCAACCCAAATTGTTCATGACCCGATTTCAAATCATCTTAAATGCAATTTAGATCACCTTATTATTGGTGATCAAAGCATTTTGTCTAGGGAGACCAAGTCGGTCCAGGCTTGCAAAAGAAAAAAGCATCATCCTCAAATTTAAGAGTTAAATATAGTATATATTTGTTGTATGGTCAAAGGAGATAATTATCTTCCTAAATTAAAGACTATAATTCCCTAGTATATTGTCATATATATTATAGTCAAAGGAAATAATTAGCTTGATAAAAATGATAATTATCTATTTATAGTTAGTTGAACCCGAATATGACCTAACTTGGAAATGACCTGACCTGATTGTAACCTGCAAATTATTGACTTAAACATAACTTGACTTGAATCCGAGAATGACCCGACTTGAAAATGACCCAATTTGATTATAACCCGCAAATTATTGACTTGAACCGAACCTGACTTGAACCCGACTTGAAAATGACCCAACCTGATTATAATCCGCAAATTATTGACTTGAACCGAACCCGAACCGAACCCGACATGAACCCGAGAATTACCCTAACCCATTTTAACCCTTGATAACCCTAATTAAACCCGACCTATTGCTCATCCAATCGAATGTAACCCGACATGTTATTAACCCGACCAAACCCGATAAGAAGTATGACCCGACGTGACCCGACTCAAGCATGACCTAACCCAAAACCTGACCCGCATAGGCTATGGAATTAATCCGAATTGACCTAACCCGAGTTGACCCGACCCACTCTTACCCGACCCAAATCCGATCTGTTTACCCGAATTGATAGCTCTAATCATTACTCAGAGTCAGAGACAAAGAAAAAATTGTTATTTATAGGTAACTAGGTAAAAAGTTATAACAAAGGCTAACGGATTGATGTTGTCACATTGTCTAAATTTCCTCATATTTAAGGATGTATGGAGTACATGGTTATCATCACAGAACTTTGGCAAAATGAATATAAACTCATTACCATTACTTATTACCGCCTACGAAACAAATGTACACAATCCCGTGTCATGGATTAAGAGTAACAGCAATGGCAAGATTCTACCAAGAGAGCTCATTTGTTTATTTGGCTAGACCAATAGGCACAATTTGCTTAGGTTGGATTTTTTTGGCAACATTTAGTGGGTTGGGTTGAGCCGTTGAACCTTCTACCAACAAAACTCTACTCAACTGATGGTTTCAAATATACCATGATTGGCATTGGTCGTATCAATGCGTTAAGCAGTTGTACGATGTTAACATAAACAACCAAAAAAATAATATAATCAATACACATCCAATAATTAATTTTGATACAATCAGAGATTCAGAGTACAAAGTTAAAGCCGACGTTCTTTAACAAAATAATAAAATTATAAAAAAAAAAACAAACAAGAAATAATTGACATTATGTGAAGAACGCCAATTTAGCTTCCCTAATCTCTATGACCCTAAGTATAGTAAAACTTATTCTTTTATTCATGAAAAACAAATTAAACCTAAACAACAAGAGGAAAGTCAAAGGCATGGTACTAAGACAATGTTTAGTTTGACAGGAAACTCTTCTTATTTCTTACAAATTTGGTACGTACTAAGCTGAAATTCAATTGAAATTAGATTTCAAAATCCATTTATATTTCATTCCTCACCGGAACAATATTTCATTTTTTGCCGGAAAAATAAATAGAAAGAAATAGTGGGATTAATGGGAGAGAAGAAATAAAATGGAAAAATGTGATATTCATAAGGTAAAATATATTCAGCCCGAGAAAATATCACCACTATTTTTCGGGGAAAATAAATCACTCCAAGTGAAAATGAGAAGTACTTAAATCACTCCCTCCTAAGAATTGAATGACAATAACATCATATATTTACAATTCAGCTGAACATAAATTATAACTTGACTCTAATCATTTAAGATAAATAATAGATGAGAAGGATTTACTACAAAATCACCAGAACAACTAAAGATCAAATAGAAAAAAGCTCATTTGCCCCTCTTTTTTTTTTTTTCCTTTCCTTCCAGGACATAGGACAATTAAGTGTATAACTACTGTATTTCTTTACACTTGAGACTAGAGGGGTTAATCACATAATTATAAATTATAGAATAATTTGACAAGGTAAGTGGGTGAACCAAATTCTCTCTATTGTTAGACACAGTACTTGATTAGACACCTAATCCACATATACAACTTAGTATAAACTATGTTTGTTATGGTATTAGGTCACTATTCCATTTCACTCTCGTACGTATATATACTTGAGACCTCTCCACCCTAGTCACAACACACAACCATCAAAAGCTTCATTCTAAGGAACGAGCAAAAGAAGTACAGTAAGATGGAGTTGCACAGCACATATTGTAGCCTTTTCCTCAAACTAACCTTCATTTTAGCGTTTACAGCTTGTTTAGCAAATGCAGCGGTCCACCATCATGAGTTTGTTGTAAGTTCCTTTCCTCTAGTCTTGCAAGGAGTAAATTTTTCATGCATGAATGCAGTCCATCCACTTTTCTTTCTTGTGACTTCTTTAACAATAAATATCACAGATTCAACCAACGCCGGTGAACAGGCTTTGTCAAACCCAGCATGTTATGACTGTAAATGGTCAGTTTCCAGGGCCAACCCTGGAGGTACAGAATGGAGACACCCTAATCATCAAAGTAACGAATGCTGGCAAATATGATATCAGTCTCCACTGGTAAGTAATTAAGTACACACAAGCTATCCCCAAAATACTTCTAGAGACGGGCCACTCGACCATAACTCTAAGTTACTTAACATGTTCTCAAAATTTCACACAGGCATGGAATCCGCCAAATGAGAAACCCATGGGCAGATGGACCCGAGTATGTAACACAATGCCCAATGAAACCTGGAGTAACCTACACATATCGGTTCACCATTGAGAACCAAGAGGGAACACTATGGTGGCATGCTCACAGCAAATGGCTAAGAGCTACTGTATATGGAGCTCTAATCATATACCCCAAACAGGGATCTTCATATCCCTACCCAAAACCCAAAAGAGAATATCCTCTTATTCTAGGTAAAGCAAAGTGAACAACCACTTTAAATAATATAGCCATGATGAAGATGACTCTAAAATTGGTAATTTACAGGAGAATGGTGGAACAGAGACCCAATGCATGTTCTTCGACAAGCAACAATAACAGGAGCAGCTGCAAATGTGTCAGACGCATATACAATCAACGGTCAACCTGGTGATCTATATCCATGCTCCAGCAAAGGTTTTGATTTAAGCATTAATCCTCATATCTGCTGTTATGCTCCATTTAGATGGAAATCATGGCTAATATTATGTGCAATATTAAGGAGTGTGGAAACAAATAAAAATACATAATAATGCAAATAGATTCAGGCTATCTGACTTAAATGGCTTAACTCAGCAGAAAGTTATAATGAAACAGAGCATTTAAGCCCTGAAAAATTCTGCATAATAGGTCCTACTTGGCATCAAACTAGGCATTATCAGAAGTAACCACCAAATATGATACATGAACTATAACAGATTATCAGAAAAGGTGATGTGCAACTGATGAAACAAATTTTACCTCCAATAGAGAATAGTATAATCATTGCTTCAACTTTGTGCAGATACAACCATATTTCCTGTCGAAGCTGGTGAGACGATTCTTCTCCGAATCATCAATGCTGCACTCAATCAACAACTCTTTTTTTCAATTGCCAACCACCAAATGACAGTTGTTGAGGCGGATGCAATTTACACCAAGCCCTTCACCACCAATGTTGTGATGATAGGACCAGGACAAACAACCAATGTCCTAGTCACTGCTAACCAACCACCAGGCCGCTACTACATGGCAGCTACAGCCTACTCCAGTGCTCCTAATGTAGCCTATGACAACACCACCACAACTGCAATTCTTGAATACAAGTCTGCTGCTTGCAAATCCAAAACAGGAAGTCCTATGAGACCCATTCTTCCACAACTACCAGCCTGGAACGATACTAACACCGCAAATGCATTTAAAGCTCAATTTAGGAGTCTTTCCAAGGGGAGGGTCCCAATTGAGATTCATGAGAACCTATTTTTCACAATCAACCTTGGGCTGATAAACTGTTCAGGTCCAAGTTTCCGTTGTCAAGGCCCCAACAACACCAGGTTTACTGCTAGCATGAATAACGTATCCTTCGTTTTCCCGAAAAGGAATTCCATAATGCAGGCTTTGTACCAAAATACTCCAGGTGTCTTCACAACAGACTTTCCTCCAGTACCTCCATTGCAATTTGATTACACAGGCAACGTAAGCCGAGGGCTGTGGACACCTGCACGAGGGACTAAACTATACAAATTGAAGTATGGTTCTCATGTACAAATCATTTTACAGAATACGAATATTGTCACAATTGAGGACCATCCAATGCATCTCCATGGATACCATTTCTTCGTTGTTGGCAGCGGCAAAGGTAACTTCAACCCAAGAACAGATCCTGCCAGATTCAATCTGGTTGACCCACCAGAAAGGAACACCATTGGAACCACACCTGGTGGATGGGTTGCTATCCGATTTGTGGCTGATAACCCAGGTAACAAAGAAGCAACTTAGTTATTTTTTGTAAATTCTCTTATCGTTTCATCATTAATTTGCATAATACCCTTACCAGTCAGCGGTGCTAATATTTTTCTTCCTTTTCTACTGTTCAAACAGGGGTTTGGCTAATGCATTGTCACCTTGATGTTCATATTGGCTGGGGCTTGGCTATGGCCTTCTTGGTTGAGAATGGTGTTGGTAAACTAAATTCCGTAGAGCCTCCTCCGCCACAACTTCCCCAATGTTAATTTACATGAGTCAACTTTTCAGGAAGGGATAGGGTTACCCAAGTCACAAGCCTACGAGACAAGACATTTTTCACCCAAATTTTAAGCACTCATTTCCAGTATCGTCACTTTTTTTTTTCAATTCAAGGCTATGGAACAAGGTACAGAGCAAGCCCATTCGCCAGATGATCTTATTAGTGTGGTTTTTATTGTAATGTAAACAAGCTGTTCATATTAAAGTATTGCAGTGGCAACAAGTTTTGCCAATAAATATTCTTGTTTCTCTTTCTCATTCTCTCTCTCTCTCTCACACACACACACAACATCAAAAAACCGTGAATCATGTCGAAATCAATAAGCAAACTCAAAATTCTTAATAAATCAAATAATTGAAGATACTTCATTTCAACATAATAGTAAGCTTCAAACAATAATACATTGCAGCACTTAACCTAAAGAGTAAAGACTTACAATATTATGCACAGCAAAGCCTCTTAGTTAATCAAGCAACAAACTTCAAACAACGAGTATCATTATGTATTTTCTGGCAACGGATACAGCAAAAACGCACGCCACACCTAACACAAGTATAATTAGCATTAAACCCACAAACCGTGCAGAAATTACGACGAGAGGTTATGCTTGGAGGTCCAACAGCTGCCCTCAAATAATTCGGTACATGAGGGGGCAAGGCATCCAAATTTGCCTGTTTTCACAATCAAAGACAAAGGCCAAGGACTTTGCTAAGAACAATAGCAGAAAGTACCACTAAATCAAGTTCAAAGATTAGAATCAAGTCCAAAGATTAACAATTATTCTATTTTCTCACCTCATTAACTAGCTCCAAAAACGTTCTAGGATTTTTCCTTGCAATTTCTCTCGCTTTTCCTTGACGAGTTTTCCGCTTCATACTCATAGATTGCTTCTTCTGTATATATGCTGTCAATCCATACATTATCCCAATTTTCAAATTATTTCAGATAAATAAATTAATAATGCTTCATCTTTTATTTAATCTGATTTTAACAAAATTAAGAACAACAAAATTCAATTTCCTTTGCAACTCCAATTCAACCTAAAATTTCACAAATTCATTCAACTCTACTGAAATAAACCTAATGTCGCACTAAATTGACGAAATCACTAACAATAGCACTGAAAAATCAAGCAACAAGAGGATTTTTGAAATGATTTAATCAACAGATTAATAAAACAACCTACCTTCTTCGTCATCATCAAGAGAAGCTTCATCGTCGTCGTTGATCTCAACTGTTTCAACTCCGCCATTATCGTTTTCCAGAGCATCAAGCCTAGCTAATGCCGCCTACAAATCAACGAAATTCATCATTATAGAAGTAATTTCCTCCTCTTCCGCCGAAGAGAGAGAAAGAGAGAAAAGCAAGACCTGAGTTCGATTATCGGAGCTAGCAAGAGCAGCCGCCATTTTTGTGGCGACTTTTCGAGATCTTGTCGACGTTCGTCGGACTGCGCCGGAGATTTCATCGTCCATCGCCGGAATTTTTTTGGAATTGATTTCAGAAACTTGGTTTTAGTCTGGTGAATTAAGGCCCCAATTTCAAACTGTGGCTCCTATGAGCCTATGACTCTTATGAGGTTATGTTATTGGGTTTAGAAGGGTTAATTTGATAAAGTAGGTTGCGTTTTGGGTAAGGATGGTCATATCGATTGTGTCTTGTCTCATGTTATATTCTTGTATCCATACGAGTTAAAATATAAATTGAGTTGTTTTTATTAATAGATTGAATCAGGTTGTTGTGTTAATTAAATTAAATAGTCAAAATGAATATACATTTGATTGCTATTTATTGCCAATTTAATTGATTTTTAAATCATTAAAATTGAATCAAACATTATGTACAAATGATCTTTGATATTGCATTTGAGGGGTAGTCAACTCTAAAAAAATTAAAAATACAAAATAACGAATAAAAATTAAGTCTAACATGTTTAAATATGAAAAAAAAATCAACCATTAAAATTAAACTAACATAAAACCTAATCTAATAACAAGCCCAAGGGCTAGCTCGTTGATCTCTCAACACTTGTTGTTGCACTACTAACACGGATCCGGATGTATTAAAATCGATTGATACCAAAAAAATCACCTACTAATCCTAATTCAGGATTATCAGTCCATTCAGATAATCCTTCCAACAAGGTTGGATTAATTCCATTTTTCCTTCCGGTAATCCAAAGATCTATTGGAACACTATCATTCAATGATTGTACCGCCGAAACAGTTTCAAAACCATTGTTCACAACAACTTCCTTGTACACTACTTTGTCATTCCTCTCATTTTTGACCCAAAACCAAGTTACCACCCCATCATCCAACTTCCTCTCGGATTCATCATCCCCTTTATACTCACTTGCCAAGAATCGAACCACAACCAACGACACGTCGGGATGTTCCACCATACGATCCGCCAATGAGAGGGCCTCACGGGCATCAGGTCCACCAAGGAATAACATGGCAAACTGACGATGTATGCAGTTGCTTGATCGAGTTGGGAGTGACCCCCATGCAGCGGCATTCTTGCATGCTAAGATTCCAACGGAGCATGGTGCATGTGACAACGTGTTAGCATTAGCAGATTGTACACCCGGCCTAAGTATGGCAGTTGAAAAATCATTTCCATCTTCAATACATTTTTTGTGAAAAGGTAAAATAATAAACCCTACCTTGTTCAACAAGGCAATCTCACATATATCTTGGTACATGGTTCGTTGAGGGGTAATACTTGTAAAAAAATTCATGGAAATGCAGTCTGTCCGAGCCTCTTCGTAGAGCTTGATGGCATTGTGGATAGCTTCATTGTTGGTATCCCAATAATCTTCGTTTTGCTTTGTGTGGTCGATAAACACTGGGGCTGCTCGCCCAAGTAGTTCGACAAGGTAAAGAGCAAATACCGTAAATGGGTTGCTTGAAGTTGGATTAGCAAAGTCTAAGAGACTAAATAGGCTAGCCACACTTTCTTGGTCATAAATGCATGCTAGGATTCGAAGTTCAGACTCTTGCACTGTATGTTGTATGGTTCTTTTCTTGTTGATCATATATGGTCGTGTTGGATCATAAAGGAAGTCAATTATAGGGCTGCATATGCCTGTTACTATGATTGTTAGGATCACCATCAATGAGAAAGATGGCGTTTTTATGATCTGCATATAAAAATTCAAAGTTTAATGTAGGATAAATTGATGAGAACTAACCTAATAGTCAAAATTGACCAAATTCAAGTATATAGACCAAACACTAGTATTATTATATTGATTTGGAATGGGATACCATTGTTTTTATTTATTTATTATTATTGTAGTGGTTTAGGTATATTAGGTCGAAGTTTGAATATATTACCTTAAGCATTCTACATTGACACTAGCCTTAAGATTTTGTTATAAAATCGTACCTTTAAGTCCGTCCAATGAAGATATAGAAGAAATTCTGTTTGACCTCTAAGGCTAAGCATAAAGCCCATAGCAAGCGAATCTCTATACGACATGTCAGTAAACCGTGCTGCCATAACAACCGAAACAAGCTTCGACACTATGGCCATAGTAGCCAAAGCAAATAGAGGAGTTAAGCAAGACCAACATTCACTCATTACAAAAATATCCGTCTTAAGCCCAATAGTTGCATAAGCAAAGGGCATAAGAATGTCATTCATAATAACCTCACTCTTATGCACAATAGTAGCCCCAATTGGCGGTCCGTCGGGTATGGCTAGTCCAAGCCAAAGAGGTCCATTTCCAATTGCAGCACCAATAAAATCAGTTGTAAAGGCAATCACAAAAACTCCTAGCAAAGTAGCAGTAATATATTTTTGATCCACAGGTTTACCTTCAGGAGTTTGCCTATTAATCCATTGCATAACTTGTGGAATTCCACCAATTACTAACCCACTAATCCCAACTACCGTACATATATAATACAACGCATTTATCCCTTTATCTTCTCCTTGTTTAACAGCTTCAAACGCGATAATCACAGTTATCCCCACAGCATCACTTATGATCACGGTTGTTAAGGCAACACGTCCAATTTCCGAGCTTAAAAGTTGCATATCCCTTAGAATTGAGTATATAACCGGGAATGTTGTGATGATTATTGCTGAAACTATACCTCCAATAGAAGAGTATTTCCGAAGCTCAGGGTCCATGTAGTCGCGGATGCAAATCGCTACAACCCATACAATGATATGGGGAATTATCAACCCGGATAATGCAATCACCCAATGCTTCTTTCCTGCTTTGAAGATCACAGCTAAGTCCATTTTTACTCCGGTCACAAACAAGAAAAACATGAACCCTATGATCCCGATATTTTGTATTACGTAACGTGAGTTCTCTGGAATTACATTCTTTGCAAAGTTATCATTGTGACCTAGCACTGACGGTCCAAGGATTATGCCCGCCTATATACACGAAAAAAAAAACACTTAGTTTTTTCACTACATAATACATGGACAATTGGACATTAATAATTAGGCTAATAAGGGAAGGCTTTACATTCGTTCTCACTTAGTAGAAATCAATGGCAAAGTGCTAGCCTGTATTTACAATATACAAAAAAAAAAAAAAAAAAAAAAAAAAAAAAAGAACAAAAAAAAGAAAAGCAAATAGTGTTATATATACTCCTAAAACATTACAATTTACAACCTTAATTGTAATAATTTTTTGAAACGATTGCTTAAAATCATTTTATCTCATCAACATGGTAGTGATTAAAGAGACTTGATTCGATCTCAAGTCTTATATATATGATTTATATATGTTCCATCCTATAAACTTATATTAATCCATTAGTCCTTTTTTACTGATTACATTTAGACTTTGCACGTTTTCCATTGTACTTTTTTATTATCAATATATTTCATTGCATACTTATAAATTTTTTAATAATTGAGTATTAATTCAATTAAATACTCGTTGAGAAAAATCAAATAAGACCCACATGACCATATTATGTCTTATATAATTGGAATAATTGGGTTTTCTTATCTTATGAATAGTGTCAAAAGTTAAAACGTAACAAATAAATAGAAATGGGGGAGTAGCATAAAAAAAATCCAGACATAATATCACTTTATTTTTCCTTACAATTGCTTGCCATCATCTTACAAAGTACATTATTAAACATATATTGCCAAGTATTCAAGAGAACATTACAAAATTAAAATTTTTTCTTACATATATATATATATATATATATATATATAAGTGTAAGAGAATCAAGTCCTTTAAAAAAGTTCTAATAATGTTTTATTCATCATAATCATATAAAGTAAAATAACTATTAAGAAAGAGGGGAACACTTACAAGGATATCGGAGATGACTTTAGGTTGTTTGAGAGGCTTCAAGAGGAAGCGCATTAATTGGCTTAATATAAGAACTAAAGACATTTCTAAGAGGAGAGTGGTGAAGGAAAAATCAAGAGGATTAGCACCTTGAAATATGGAGAAAGCATGATTACCATGATTTCGTCGACAAATTATCTCCACAACTCGGCCATGAGAATCTATCACAGCGGATCCATTTAACTCTGATAAAGTTTGGTCCATAACCACAACTTAATTAAATAGATGTTTTATTTTTTGAAAAAATAATAACTTTTATTGTTGTTACAATCTTTCAATAGCAACAATTCTCACGTGTACAAGATCGAATAACTTATTTAGTTTACGACGAATAAGAGACTCATCAAGAAGACGGTAATAATGTGATCACAACCTTTAATAAGATGATCATTCATGCAAAAGTTTGAATATTAATTAGAGAAGACAAACCAAAAAAAAAATATGGAAGTTAATTTTTTTTGGGTTAGGAAGAGAGTGGAGAGAAAGTAAGAGAAACTAAAGCGGAGAAAGTGAAAAGAAAGGGAAATTTGAAGGATGGTTAGGCGTTAAATGTGGCAATTTGTTTCCATTTTAGTTGCTATGTTACTCCTTCAATCTAGTCCTCTCATTCATCCTCACTTTATGTTCTTTTCCTTTCTCCTTTTCTTCCTTTTTGTTTTTTCGTGTACTCGTGTAAATTATTAAATTTCCTACTATTTTCGGAAAGAAAAAGATGAGTTTCTTAAATCTATGTTATATATTGTGATATGGAACAAGTAAAAACATACAATGGCTACACCAATTATGTAATAAATCACAAATTTAATCCTTTAATAGTATTATTATATTTGCACCATTGATTCAAAGAGATCTACAATCAAATAATTATGATTATTCTAACAATTGATATTTACAAGTATGAAAATTTGAATTCTATTAGGTTGAAGTAATCTACTACTCCGTACAAAGGTTGATATATATATATATATATATATATATATATATATATATATATATATATATATATATATATATATATATATATATTTAACATGATCATACATGATGCGTAATGTTTTTTTTTTATACCAATACCAAGAGGCGATACCTTTATAATTTACTAGGAGTACTTTTATATATATATATATATATATATATATATATATATATATATATATATATATATATATATATATATATATATATATATATATAATTTACGTTATATGTATAGATAAACCAAACTACATAAGTGCTTTTGTTTTTAAGTTAATTTGCAAGAACTTGTGAAACTTGTTTTGTAGCTTCAGTATTAGTGAAAGAGTTTTAAATTCCCTTAGTAGCTTTTGTATTATTTGAATTTTTGTTTGTTTTAATTTAGAAACATGTAGTTGTTGACGATCAATCAACAATTGATAATGAATATAGAGATTATACGGAGTAATCAATCAACAATTTAAAAAAAAAAAAAAAATATTATTTCTAACATTTTTGTACAAAATCTTATGGCTAACACAAATCCTAATTTTCTAATAAGCTCAAGGATTAACACGATGATTTCTTAACACTTGTTGTTGCACTACCAATACAGATCCCGATTCCAATGACACCAAAACATCACCTAATAATCCTAATTCAGGATTTTCACTCCATTCTGATAAACCCTCTATTATAATTGGGTTAATTCCATTATTTCTCCCTGTAATCCAAAGATCTATAGGAGCACTGTCATTTAACATTTTAATGGCCAAAACAGTGTCAAAACCATTGCGCACAACAACCTCCTTGTACACTACTTTGTCATTCCTTTCATTTTTAACCCAAAACCAAGTTATCACCCCATCATCCATCTTTCTCTCCGACTTCTCATACCCTTCATACTCATTTGCCAAGAATCGAACCACGATCAATGACACGTTAGGATGTTCCACCATGCGACTCACCAACGAAAGGGCCTCACGGGCATCAGGCCCTCCTAGGAACAACAGTGCAAACACGCAGTTTACGCGGTAGCTTATTCGAGTTGGGAGTGTCCCCCATGGAGCAACGTTCTTACATGCTAAAATTCCAACGGAGCATGGTGCATGGGACAACGTATTAGCATTAGTAGATTGTACCCCTACCCTACGTATGGCAGTTGAAAAATCATACCTATTTTCAATACATTTCTTATGAAAGGGTAAAATAATAAGTTCTACCTTGTTCAACAAAGCAATCTCACAAATATCTCGGTACATGGTCCGATTAGGTGTAACACTTGTAAAAAAGTTCATTGTAATGCAATCTCTACGAGCCTTTTCGTAGTGATTGATGGCTTTGTGAACGGCCTCATTGTTGTTGTCTCGATACACATCTTTATATTTCGTGTGGTTGATGAACACTGGGGCGGCTCTCCCTAAGAGTTCAACAAGGTGGAGAGCGAAAACTGTAAATGGGTTATTTGTTGTTGGATTAATGAAGTCCACAAGGCTAAATAGGTTAGCCACACTTTCTTGATCGTAAATGCATGCTAGGATTCGAAGTTCAGACTCCTGCACCCTGTGTTGTATGGTTCTTTTCTTGTTTATCAAGTATGGTCTTGTTGGATCATAGAGGTAGTTGATTATAGGACAAGCTATGCTTGTCATTAATATTATCAAAATCACTATTAATGAGAAAGACTGCGCGTCTATGATCTGCATATAAGATCCAAAAAACACAAAAGAAAGATTGATAAGTAACAACCAAGATTTAATAATGCTGAAAATGTTATTTTAATATAAAATGAGTTTATTATTGCCTTTGTAACTCATACACTGATACACATAGAAAATACATATCAAGTATAACAAGAATTTGTTAAAAGATCGTACCTTTAAATCCATCCAATGAAGACATATAAAAAACTCCGATTCACCTCGAAGGCTAAGCATGAAACCCAAAGTAAACGAATCTCTATATGTCATCTCCATAAACCGAGCTACTAAAACAACCGCAACAAGTTTGACAAAAATGGCCGAAAAAACCAAAGTGAAGAGAGGAATTAAAGAGGCCCAATAAGCCCATATTTGAAATACATCCGTCTGAAGCCCAATAGTAGCATATGCAAAGGGCATAAGAATGTCATTTAAAATAACCTCAGTCTTTTGGACAATTGTTTCCCCTATTGGAGGCCCATCAGGTATTGCAAGCCCAAGCCAAATGGGCCCACTTCCAATTGCAGCCCCAATAAAATCAGTGGTGAAGCCCATAAAAAAAACTCCTAATAAGGTAGCAATGACATAATTTTGGTCCACGAGTTTACCTTTGGGTGTTCTCCTAACAATCCATTTCATTATATGCGGTATGCCATTTAATACCAAGCCACTAACCGCAACTAGTGCTAACAAGTAATATAGCACATATATCATCTTTTTTTCACCTTGCTTCAATGCTTCAAATGTAACAACCATACTTAACCCGAACACGTCTCCAATAATCGCGATTGTTAAGGCAACACGCCCAATTTCCGAGCTTAAAAGTTGCATATCTCTAAGAACGGAGTAAATTACCGGGAATGCTGTGATGATTATAGCTGAAGCAATAGCTCCCGTCGAAGATGATTTGTTAATAAGTCCAAGGTGCATGAAGTGTTTAATGATTATTACGAAGGAAAATATAATGATATAGGGGATTAGTATCCCTCCAGAAGCGATCACCCAAAGCTTTTTTCTAACCTTGGTGATCACAGCTACGTCCATTTTTACGCCTGTTAAGAACAAGAAAAACATGAATCCAATAATCCCAATATTTCGAATTATAAATCTTGAGTTATCTGGAATGACATTCTTCGCGAAGGTCTCGTTGTGACCTAGCACTGATGGTCCAAGGATTATGCCTGCCTACACACAAATAGTCACAATATGAAATACACATAAATTGAAAAGAAAGTATCCCACAATTTTATTATATGAACATTTAATTAATTAATCATAATTATTATAAATTAATGGACGGTGACTTACCAGGACATCAGAGATAACTTTAGGTTGTTTGAGAGGCTTCAAGAGGAAGCGCATAATGTTGCTTAATACAAGAACTATAGCCATATCTAAGAGGAGAACCGTGAAGGATAACTCAAGAGGATTAGCGCCTTGAAATATCGAAAATGCGTGACTTCCATGGGATCTTTGACAAATTATTTCAAAAACTTGACCATGATAATCTATCATAGCAGATGCATTTTGCTTCCATAAATCTTGTTCCATAACAACGCGATGTATATCTTGTACGACAACAACAATGAGGAGGATGAATCTTTCCTTTGATCTAATTTAATCGATTTCAATGGCAACAAATACCACGACGAATTAGCTTAATTATGGAGATTAGATCGATTTGCAAACCATATTAAAAAGACGATATTATGGTCACGGTCATGAATAATATGACCGCACCATGCATGGTAAACTTTGGAGATTAAATCAAACCAAAAAAAAATGATTAAAAAAATAAAATGATGTGAATATTTTTTTTAGGAAAAAATTTGGAAGGATATTATGATTAATTTTCTTTATGTTATTTTAAATTCTTTTGTTTTTTGAATTTTCTATTTACATGCATGTGTTCGTGTAAACCTTCATTTTTATAGTTTTCTCTTAAATCAGAAAGAAAGGGGGAAAAAAAAAAGAAAAAAAAAAGAGGGAATTAAGAGAGGATTTGAATCATTTTTAAAGATAGTATAACAAGAGACAGATGATCAATGGAATAGCACCTTTCCTTCAAAAAAAAAAAAAAAAGATAGTATAACAAATGAGAAAGAATGTGTTGTATTAATTTTAGACATCTAAATTTAAGTTTTTAAGTATCATAATTATAGGTAACTTAATGGTGTAATTAGGTGACTTTTTACATTTAGCTCAAATAATCATAATCATGATCATGATTCTAAGTCACAACAATTACAAAGTCAAAGATAGTATATCATGTGCTTCTTGTAGTATATACCATATAGACTATATACCTTAGCTTGCACAGCTGTCCCACCTTAATTAAATTAGTCTTTTTTTAGATGAAGTATCCTTCATTAATATTATAGTCAATGTAATTGCTGTAATTAATATTTTAATGTTTTTTAGTAAATTTAATTCATAAGAAAATAAGGTTGAATCTAATAACTAAATTAACAAATTGAATCAAAATAAGAGATGCTCTCATGATTTATTGAAGCCGTGCGGATGGTTTCTTCTGATTCAAATAATTGTGTTTATTGCGATTGCGGAATTGGTAATACTGGTTTTGAGAAACTAAGTTAACTAACTATGAACTTACGACTTTTTAATTCTATTTGGACTACTCCATCAAATCAGGCCTCCTCCAGAATAGTTTACATTCAAATGCAAACGGTTAACCTATATTGATTTGATTAAGCAATTTCCAAAAGTTATCATTATAAATAAAACAAATTGGGTCGTTCGGACTAATTTTTGACACCTATTCATCATGAATATGAATTGGTTAATTACTAATTTAATCTACTAATAATATAAATTATATTTACTCCTTCATCTTGAATCTCAACCCTTCATATTTAATTAAATGATCTTATCCATTAATATTTTACTTTTAACAAGATGGAGAGAAAAAAAAAAATCTACTTTCGTATGTATAAACCATGAAACCAATAAAGCAATAAGATACTTTCCAATATTTATATATTCAAAACGTAAAATAATCATCTTTCTTCCTCATTCGTTCTCAACATCATAGTGACTTGGTGAGATTGATTTATAGGTTACAACACATTTCATATAAATTTTGAACATCTCGACTTTGAAAATTAAGATATAAACTAGCTTTTTGAATATTTCACTTAGCTTTGAAAGTTTCATTATCATTTTTTTGAAATACTCTTTGTGAACCAGACTCAATTAATACTTTATTTTATTTTTTATGGATAGTTATTTTGTTGGCATAATTATATTAAGTAATGGTGTAAATTAATCTTTATAATGACTACATTTTCATTGCCATTGCAAATGTAATTTATTCCTAATCATCATCAATATTTTACCAAAGTTGGGATTGTTTTTGTTTTTTAACCATCAAATATAAGTTTAAATAAAAATATGTACACTTGAAACTCTAGAACACATTTTGGTGTTATCAGTTACAAATTGAGATTTTAAAATAAATAAAAAAAAAAAAGGATCGATGAATCATAAAAATTAATTTAAAAAAAAAAAATCTGATCTAGTAACAACCCCATGGTATACATTGTGGATCTCTTAATACTTGTTGTTGCACTATCAATACAGATCCTCCTGAGGTATTAACATCCATGGACACCAAAAAATCACCTATTAACCCTAGTTTGGGATTTTCACTCCAATCTGATAAACCCTCCAGTAAAATTGGATTAATTCCATTTTCCCTCCCAACAATCCAAAGATCTACCGGAATGCTATTGTTCAACGATTGTATAGTTGAAACAGTATCAAGACCATTTTTCACAAAAACTTCCTTGTACACAACTTTGTCATTCCACTCATTTTGAACCCAAAAACAAGTTACCACTCCATCATCCATCTTCCTTTCGGACTTAAGATGCCCTCTATTCTCAGTTGGCAAGAATCGAATCACAATTAACGACACGTAAGGATGTTCCACCATTGGACTCGCCAACGAAAGAGCCTCACGGGCATCAGGACCACCAAGGAATAGCATGACAAATTGGCGGTGTGTTTGGAGGGACATTGGAGTTGGGTTTGTTCCCCATGTTGCATCATTCTTACATGCCAAAATTCCCACGGAGCAAGGTGCATGGGATAATGTATTAGCATTTGACGATTGTACCCCTGGCCTTGTGTAAATTGAATAATCACTCCCATCCTTTATACTTTTCTTATGGAACGGTAAAATTATAAATTTAACCTTGTACAGCAAGGCAATTTCACATATATCTTGGTACATTGTTCGATTTGGGGTAACACTAGTAAAACTTCTCATAGTAATGTAATCCGTACGAGCCTCTGCGTAGTGCTTGATTGCACTATGTATGACCTCGTTGTTGTTGTCCCAATACGCGTTAATATGCTTCGTGTGATCGATAAACATTGGGCTGCCTCGACCGAGTTCGATTAGGTAGAGTGTGAAAACCGTAAATGGGTTGTTTGAAGTTGGATTTGCCAAGTCCAAGAAGCTAAATAGGTTGGCCACACTTTCTTGGTCATAAATGCACGCAAGGATTCGTAGTTCAGAGCCTTGCACCGTGTGTTCTATGGTTCTTCTTTTGTTGACCAAGTACGACTTTGTTGGATCATACATGTACCCGATTATGGGGCAGCATATGGCCGTCAATATGGTTGTCATAATCACTATCAATGAGAAAGCTGGTGTTTTTATGATCTGCATTTGAACATCCAAAGAATAAAATTATATTATAAGTCTGTCTCAACACAAGTTAGGATAATGTAATGAAATTATACCTCTAAGTCCATCCAGTGAAGGCATAGAAAATATTCGGTTTGACCTTTAAGGATAAGCATGATGCTCAGAATAAATGAATCTTTATACGACATCTCCATAAATCGGGCCAACATAACATTTGTCACAAACTTGGCTAAGATAGCCATAAAAACAATAGTAAAGATGGGAATTAAGTCATTCCAATATGCAGTAATTTCAAAGACGTCCGTGGAAAGTCCAACAGTAGCATATGCAAAGGGCATAAGAATGTCGGTCAAAATAACCACCGTCTTTCGCATAACGTCTACTCCAACTGGGGGCTCATTAGGCATAGCAAGCCCAAGCCAAATGGGCCCAGTTCCAATTGCGGCCCCAACATAATCAGTAGCAAACCCAATCAAAAAAACTGCTAGCAAAATAGCAATAATATAATTTTGGTCCACATTTTTACCTTCAGGAGTTCTCTTATTAATCCATTTTACTACATATGGTAGGCCTGCAAATAATAAGGTACTAATCCCAATTACCGATGATAAATAATACCATATAAAATCCTTCCTTTTTTCTCCTTGCTTCATTGCTTCAAAAATAATAAGCATAGTTAACCCAAAGAAATCACTTAGTACCGCGATTGTTAAGGCAAGACGCCCAATTTCCGATCTTATAAGATTCATGTCTGTTAAAGTGAAGTAAACAACTTGGAATGATGTAAAAATCATGGATAAAGGAATTGTAAGCAAGGAAGAATGTATTTGTAGCGCCGGGTCTAAGAACTCTCTAATGGATTTCATTATGCACAACATGATTACGATTGGGAAAATCGCCCCGACAAATGAAATCACCCATATTTTTTTCCCTGCCTTGGTGATCACTGCTAAGTCCGTGTTCGCCCCGGCCAAAAACATGAAAAACATGAACCCTATGATCCCGATATTTTTTATTAGAAATTTTGTGATATCCGGTATGACATACTTTTCAAAGGTCTCGTAGCGACCTAGGAACGATGGTCCGAGGAGTATGCCCGCCTTCACACACAAACATATTTAGAGTTACTATTTTTAAAAAAGTACAGTACCTATTATGATTTTTAATCTACGGAAGTCATATTACAATGATATATACATGATTTAATCCTAAATGTCAAAATAGTATTAAATGAAAATAAATTAATTTAATCATCATTATGAAAATAAAACTTGAGATAAATGAACAAGACATACCAAAATATCAGACACGACTTTAGTTTGCTTGAGAGGCCTGAAGAGAAAGTGCAAAATATTGCTGAAAATAAGAACTATTGATATTTGTAAAAGGATAAGGGTGAAGGAGGATTCAAAAGGATTATTATTTTTGCCTTGAAATATTGAGAACACATTATTTGCATCAACTCCTAAGCAAATTGTCTCAACAACCTTCGCAGTAGTTTTATTTAGCTCATTTTGATTTTGGTCCATTACAATCACTTTAAAAAAACAAAAAAAAACCAAAAGTATGATCCCACTCACAAATAGTTTTTGGAGCATAAATAAATCATTTTTATTTATTGATTGATTGATTTTTGGGGAAAGAAGGAGAGTTGGAGAATACTCCGTATGATTGTTTCCTTGTGCTCTTTTTTTTTTTTTTTTTTTTTTGTTTATCCTTTTGTTTTACATGTACTCGTGTAAATCTCTTTATAATCCTCTTAATTCAAAAAGGGGGGAAATTAGGGAGTAACAGTGGATATGATTGACTGTGTATTAGGATAATACAATATTAACCTATTTTTAGACATCTAAATTTAAGTTTAAAGTATCACATTAATAGGTACATTTCTAATTAAACTAGGTGACATTTAAATTCATCTCAAAGTAATTACATGCATTATCACAATCATGATAACTAGTAACAGCAAACACAATATCAGCCAAAAAAAAAAACACAATATCAGCCTAATTATAGATACCGTGTACAGTTGTACTAGTTTTATTAATTTTGATTATTATCCTTGATCTAATGTCGTAATTACTATGTATTAATTAATTACGCAAATAACTTCGTAGTCAATGTAAAAAAAAAATGTATGTCTCTCCGTCCCTTGAATTAATCATCTTTATCTATTTTTATTACGAGTAGTTATAAAAAATTGAAACTACTAATAAACATTGCCTCAAAAGGTGTAACAAGTATTCAAAAACGAAGAAAATATATCGGAAATATATAGACAATCCTTTATTTTGTTTTTTGATCAGTAGGAGGTAGGACTACATACATTATACATTTATACCTCAATACTTCTGATTAGCTAGTCTAACTATACAAGTCAACACTTTAAATAAAGAATGGTATACAAATTACAAACAGGCATGTTAGCTAGCTAGCCCTACAAGAATGAGTCTTTAACCATGACAATTTGCCATAAAAAAGCGGAAAAAACATGTACTTCCTCTGTTCTTTTTTACTTGACATGTTTCTTATATCACGCTTGCCAATGCAAAACTTTAACGATTAATAACTTTAATTCTCGATAAGTAAAAATTATAAAAGTTATATATTATGATAGTACTTGTTGAGACAAATTTAAAAATATCTTACATGAACATGTTTTTTTTTTAAATATTATTCACAAAACACGGTTAAAGGAGGAGTGGTGAATAGTGTAAAAGTCAAAGTGGGTCAAGTAAAAAAGAACGGAGGAAGTAGTTACTTTGTAAAGAATGTACAACTGTACTGTTTTATAAAGAGCATCTATATTTGTTTTGTAAAGAGCAACTAAATGTTTTTATTTTTTAATATCTAAAAACATCTGTAATATTAATAAAGAACATGATAATATTATGTGATGAACATTATTAATTGATTTAACCTATGAGAGATTGAGAGATGTCGCTTCACTACAGTCCTTCATCTTAAAAAGTTAATATGTTAAAGTTTACATATACAGTAGACATATTAAGCCCAGCCTACAAGCCACTGTATTAGGTTTAAGCGATTTGGCAAATGTTAAGCTTAACATTGTTCCCAACTTCCCATCATAATAAGAAGGAATTAGCTCTATCATATTCCCTCTATGTAATTGCAAGTTCAAGTGTTCAACTCTTGTTTGCTATATACTCAATAAAATAATACTCCGTATATAATTCAAATTGTATTACCATAATACTTCATATAGCATTTTATTCACATATACAGTATCTCTTATTGTGTGAGCTATATTGCCTACATTAGTTTTGTTTTATTGAATTTTTTTTTTTTTTTCATCTAATAATGATTATATTTTCATTTCAGCCATTATATTTTTGTCATTTTTTTTTTGTCATTTTTTTTTTTTGAAAGGATGTCATTGATTATTATCAATAATTTTAACAAAGTTGAGATCTAGTTTATAAAATTTAAATAGAAGTTTAAAACTAAATATTATGTTATTATGTACGCATAAAATACAACACTAAATTTTGGGGTTATCAATTACGAAGTACATTATAATTTTTGAGTTTGGGGTTTGAGGTGATGGAGTAGTGGCATCGCTTCTACCTCGTATTCCTGAGGTATGGGAATCAAGTTTCATGGGACTCATTTGAAGTATTTCCCTTGTCTTCCTATTACAATTGACAAATAGAGAAAGCTAAGATAATATAAGATTTTATTTATTTATTTTTTTAATGACATTCCTTTAAGAAAAATTAAAAAATTAAAAATTAAAAAACAAATCTAACAGAAAATTTAATCTACGTACTAACAACCCCATGGTATGGATTCTGGATTTCTTAACCTTTGTTGTTGCACTATCAGTACGGATCCTCCTGGGGTATTAACATTCATTGAAATCAAAAAATCGCCTATTAATCCTAGTTCGGGATTATCACTCCATTCTGATAAACCATCCAATAAAATGGAATCAATTCCATTTTTTCTTCCCACAATCCAAAGATCTATTGGAATGCTATTGTTCAATGATTGTAAAGTCGAAACCGTATCAAGACCATTGTTCACTAAAACTTCATTTAACTCTACTTTATCATTCCACTCATTTTGTACCTCAAAACAAGCTACCACTCCATCATCCATCTTTCTTTCCAACTTATTATACTCTCTATCTTCACTTGGCAAGAGTCGAAAAACAATCAACGACACATTAGGATGTTCCGCCATGCGGCCCGCCAACGAAAGGGCCTCGCGAGCATCACACCCACCAAGGAATAGCATGACAAATAGGCAACGTTTCCGAACAAACATTGGACTTGAATTCGTTCCCCATATATCATCATTTTTACATGCCAATATTCCCACAGAGCACGGTGCATTGGATAGTATATTCGCATTAGACGATTGTACCCCTGGCCTTAGTTCAGTTGAAAACTCACTCCCATCTTTAATACTTTTCTTATGGAAGGGTAAAATTATAAATTTAACCTTGTACAACAAGGCCATTTCACATATATCTTGGTACATTGTACGACTAGGGATAACACTTGTAAAACTTCTCATAGTAATGATATTCGCACGAGCCTCTGCGTAGTGCTTGATGGCATTATGAATGACCAGGTTGTTGTTGTCCCAATAGACGTCGGTATTCTTCGAGTGGTCGATGAGCATCGGGGTGCCTCGGCCTAAGAGTTCGATAAGGTAGAGAGTGAAAACCTTAAATGGGTTGCTTGAAGATGAATTAACAAAGTCTAAAAAGCTAAATAGGGTAGCCACACTTTCTTGGTCGTAAATGCATGCTAGGATTCGAAGTTCGGAGCCTTGCATTGTGTGTTCAATGGTTCTTTGTATGTTGATCAAGTATGACTTTTTTGGATCATACATGTAGTTGAGTATTGGACAGGCTACGGCTGCCACTAAAGTCAACAAAACCACGAACAATGAGAAAGATGGTGTTTTTAAGATCTGCAAACATAGTTTGATCAGTAATAACATAACAATATAACATAAAAAAATAAAAAAACAAGTGGTCTAAGATAAGATTTAATCATAAAGCGTACCTTTAAATCCATCCAGTGAAGACAGAGAAAATAATCAGTTTGACCTTTAAATCTAAGCATGATGCTTAGAACAAGCGAATCTTTATACGACATCTCCAAGAATCGGGCCAACATAGCCAGTGTAACAAGCTTGGCAAAAATAACAAACAAAAACACTAGAAGGACGGGAACTAATTCAGTCCAATCTGCAATCATTTTAAACACATCCGTGTAAAGTCCAACAGAAGCAAACGCAAAAGGCATAAGAATGTTATTCACCACAGCCTCTGTTTTTTGCTTAACGGCTGCACCTATTGGGGGCCCATTAGGCATAGCGAGCCCAAGCCAAATAGGCCCATTTCCAATTGCGGCCCCAATAAAATCAGTGAAAAACCCAATAACAAAAACTGTTAACAAAGTAGCAACGATATAACTTTGGTCCACAGATTTACCCTCAGGAGTTCGGTTATTAATCCATTTGACTGCTTGTGGTAGGGCAATTAATAAAAAGGTGATAATTACTAAAATAGATGACATGAAATACCATAAATAGTGGCTACGTATTACTCCTTGCTTCAATGCTTCGAAAACAAAAACCATAAATAACCCAAAGAAATCACTTAGTACCGCGATTGTTAAGGCAAGACGTCCAATTTCGGAGCTCATAAGCTTGATGTCTGTTAAAATGAAGTGAATAACTTGGAATGATGTGAAAATGAGACATGAAGGAATAGTCATGGAATATATACTATAAGTTAGTATTGTTTGATTAAAGCCACCTTTGATGAATCCCATGACTAATACCGTGGTCGCGAAGGGGAATGACACCCCGAGAAATGTAATCAACCATATCTTTTTTCCAGCCTTGAGCATCTCTATTAGGTTCATGTTCATTCCCCCCAAAAAACAGAAAAACATGAACCCTATGATCCCAATATTTTTAATTACATATGTCGATATATCTGGAGTCACGTACTTTACAAATGTTTCGTACCGACCTAAGAACGATGGTCCAAGGAGTATGCCCGCCTACACACACAAACATATATATGTATCTTTTAGTTAATTAGTATTCATAATCATAGTTTCATAAAGAAAACTGAATACATACCCTTTTTTTTTTTTTAAATTTTTATATTATTATTACGACACTTTTTATAATCGGTCATTTTTAATTAATTACAACACTTTCTTAACTGGAAATACCTTACGCTAATATATTACTCTGGTTCTACTCCTACTTCATTCACACTTTTTCTTTAATACTACATATTAAATTTTTTTTTTTTTGGGAGGGGGGGGGGAATACAACGTATTAATCCATTACCATATTTATTTTTTAAAAGGAAATTCTATTTGATAACACTCAACTTTTTCTTTTTTTCTCTTTGGTAAAATGAGAAAAATTGTTATTATCATTGATAATCTTTATTGCTCTTTTTTTATATATAAACTTTTAACTATATTTAAGAGTTTTCCTTTAATAACTTTTTTATTAACCCTGCCTCCCCCACCAACCCAGCCAACCTCGAGCCCCCCTCCTCTTGCCGGTTGCCTAGCTTCTCCATCCGACACGGCTTCCCATCCCAACCCTTGCCGGCTAGGCGGCTACCCTCCACCCTCCCATTTCCCCCACCCCCTAATGTTCCCCACCCTTAAAACGGCCCCCCTCAGGCTCTCACCAAAAACGATCCCCTTTATATTAAGAAGGTTAAATTCGTCATAACCATAAAAAAGTAAGATAAAGTAAACAAGACTTACCAATACATCAGACACGACTCTAGTTTGCTTGAGAGGCTTGAAGAGAATTTGTAAAATGTTGCTTAAAACTAGAATTAATGATATTTGTAAAAGGATAACGGTAAAGGGGGATTCAAAAGGATTATTTCTGCCTTGAAATATTGAGAAAACATCATCTCGTTTACGGACTCCTTGACAAATTGTCTCAACAATACGACCTCGATAATCTATCGAAGCAGATTTATTTAGCTCATTTTGACTTTGCTCCATAACAACTCTACTTTAAAATGTCAACAATTTGGAGAAAATTTAATCTATTCCAATCTCATTTTATGGCTACAATAATAACCCATTTGTGTACCACAACAATTTAGCCTAATCTTTTCTTTCCCCTTTCATCTTTAATTTTTTTTTTTTTTGTTTTACACATATTCATATACTCGTGTGAATCTCTTTATAACCATCATCACTCAAAAGGGGATTCATTTTAAGAAATAAAAGTAATTAAGATTGGGTTTCAAGGGGAAAAAAAAAAAAAAAAAAGTAATTATGATTTTATTTTTTTTTCAAGAAATAGAATATGGTTGATTTTGTTCATAAGATAACACAACATTAACCTATTTTTAGACATCTAAATTTAAGTTTAAAGTATTACATTTATAGGTACAGTTCTAGTTAAACTAGGTGGAATTGATATTCATCTTGAAAAATTACATGCATTATCACAATCATGATAATTAGTCACAGCATGCAAACACAACATCAACCTAACTTTAGGTACCGTGTACAGTTGTACCAGTCTTATTAGTTTCGATTATAATTTATCCTCTTTACAAGTTAATTTATCCTTTTTTGTAAAAGAGGATTTCTATATTGGCATATAAATGATACTCCTTTTGTGTTTTAACAAATGTTACACTTACTAAATCTGTTCGTGTTTTAATAAGTATTACACTTTATTTTTTAGCAAAAAGTTACATTAAATGTTATCTCTCTCTCATTTTATGGTTCCCAACCAAACCCACTACTATTTTTTTATTATATTTTTCTCTCACATTCATTATTTTTCAATGAACTATTAACCCCACTATCATTCTTTTACAATTTTTTAATATTTCAACTGATTCACTTACCTCTTATTTTATTTAAGTCAATTAATTTGTCTAAAAATATATGTCGTTCAAACTGTAACACTTATTAAAACACGAGGAAAGTAAACCACTATCAACAAAGTTCATATATGTCATAAAATGATGGGGAAAATTTCTCGTATAAGAGGCAATGAATGAAAAAACAAAAAGTAGTCGAAATGGGTGGAAGAGCAGTAAATAGAAAGTAAGCGTATCCGGTGGGTATATTAAGCCGAGGTCAGTGCTCACTTTATTAGGATGCAGCGATTTTGCAGCGCAGCCACAGGCCTAGTCTTTGCTTCCCCCCACGCTTATTTATTGCTTCCCAAATCAATGCCTCTTCATTCTTCATGCATGTCCACCTTTTATTTATTTCATAAGTTAAGGGAATTTTGCACAATTGACTCTAAGAGTGTAAGACTTTACTCCCTATAATACAGTATGAATAAATTACAGATGTTAAATATTGATCGATCTATTGACCTTATTATGAAACTAAATTCGATTCCACTTATACGGACATAATAATTTTGTATAAAGTATGTCTCAAATTTAAAATAGAACCATAGTCCATTAGTTATGTAAATGCTACATTGATCTTAATACACTCTGATCAACCAATATTGTAGGTTGAAACCGGTTCACATAGTTCAGTCTTTTCCTTCCTTCACAACTAATTTCATAGTCTAAAAGTTAAGCTAACACGCATTAATTTAGTATACAACAAAATGTCCAATATATATAATTGCATATTTCTATGATCAGCTAGTATAGACTTAATAAACTAATTTATGTTACATATTAATATATGATGTTACGACATTGCCCTATAGATTCCACTGATGAGATAGAGTATCTGTTTGTTCTGACTCATAATAAAAATAAATTGAATTAAAATTTGGTCTAATTAAGTTAATGGCAGCATCTGTTGAAGCAAAGTTGCCGCCACTGTTGAATGAATGTTGGGAAACAATATGATGAGCTAAATCTTTATGAAATTCATATCATATCTAATATACTGTAATTATATTACATATTCTACAACATTATTAGTATTTCCTTTGTCCGTACATAATTTTTATACTACCATACGAATTTTATTTATTTTTGTAAGAGGTTTAATTTGCTATACTCAATTTGATGAAAAGATTGAAAACTCCTCCACAAATTCAATCTATTACTATTACATTTTCACCTCGATCACTTTACCAAATTTCTTAATATACTACGACTACTTACATGTTAAAATCTAACAAGAAGATTATCCAAAGAGAATTTGGACGAATGAAGTACTCCATAATCCAAATATGAAAGAATTTTTAGTGCGACGACTTCAACTCATCATCCCATATTTTTATTATCTTCTGCTACCTTTGTCCCCATACAATATTTACACGCTATGCACCCTAAAGTAGTACATAATTTTTATAGATGGCCCTCTTATTAGATTTTGAATCTATCCCAACCGTACACGTGGAATTTATCACCACTAATACTAGCCGTACAGATGCTTTCTCCCAGTGGCATGTCCCCATATTACGTGGGAATAGTCATTTTAACTAAAATTATTTGAAAGTCATGATTTGGCATATAATCTATCTTCGTTTCCTCAATTGTATGCCCATCATATCTCTTGTCAACTATTTTTGGTACTACATTTTTTGTTTTTTTGAAGAAATTAGGTGCATAAGTAGAGTGTGAGTTTGTGACTCTTAATTTAAAAGTCTTTTGCTTCACAAACACGGAATTTTATATTACATAATAGAAAGTTAAATGTCGATCACACCCTTACTCAATACTCCAGTCTAATAATGATACAAGGGTAGTGCTTATTAATTTAGGATATTTTGCTCCTCGGCTAGCTTGTTAGTTACCGAATTAGTTAAGCAATAGACTTTTCCCTAATTTAATCATACGTTCATCTACCCTTTCTTTCTTTTAGCAGAAGGGTAGCTCTTGGTCATTAATCACTTATTTTCATTTATCTAGACATTTAAAACTTGAATAAGACAAGCGACAATGGAGTATTAATGAAAAGGAGAGGGAATAGGATTGGTCCCATGAGAAAGAGAAAACCAAATTGTAAATTGAGTCTAACTAGAACATGACAAAATAAAACCCTAATTTCGATCAATGTATTTAATTTCATGAAACTTAGCTTGATAATTTTGTTATCCATAAGTGTATGTTCCTAAGAATGTCTAATTAGCTAGGTTTTTTTTCCCCTCATTTAACAAGCTAGTGTATTTTTAATTTCTTTGACTTTAAATCACAACTCAACTTTCAAACTCCTTACCTCGAGTTGTGGAAATAATAGTATAACACACTCAAATAAAAATTAAATTAAATAGAGTGATTCACATGTGCACTATATTTAATTGGTGAAGACAATATGAAATATCATATCCATCAATTTTGGTTGTCAATATTGTATTTGTGGCCAGGTCAAAAACCACTATTACTAAAACATTGCTAGTAAATTAAAATGAGGATCTTCAACAAGGTAATTGATTTATGAAATTAAAACCTTTATAGCTTGATATAGAACTAATAGAAGAGATCCGAGTAAGGTATAACCTTATAAAGTTATTATAGTTTCCTCATTTTTTTTTTTTTTTTTTTTTTTTTGATGCAAAGCATGATGATAAATTAGTTAGATTAGTAATAGTTTAAACGTATTTCACATGTATTGAGGTTGAATTAGTTAAATTAGTAATGCAATCTTGTAGCTAGTCTTTATTTTAAAATCTTATAAATTAGAGCATAGGAAACATTCTTTGTTGGTATCATGTTTTTCATATCCTTTTATGATAGAGTATATAACATATTCCTGGGCCTCAACCATCAGCTTAAACTTTTGGTTAACTTGGTCCACTAACATGGTATCAGAGACAACGTGACATAGAGGTCACGGGTTCGAATCTCATTCACCCCTCCATTAAAGTGGAATTAATTCGCGCCGGATATGAGAGGGCTTGTGCTGCATCCACATTTCAAGCCCTAAAGGCCTTTCATGTGAGGGGTATGGGCCTCAACCATCAGTTTAAGCTTTTGGTTGAGTTGGTCTACTAACATTTTAGGAACACCTAGCTAATTTGTTTATATGCAACAATCATGTTTTGATCCCAATCCTTTTTGAAATTATTTTATTAATGTTTGTTTCAAACTCACTTGTTGGTCGATTTATCTTTTTTTGACTAGCTATATATATATATATATATATATATATATATATATATATATATATATATATATATATATATATATATTTTAAAACCATCTTTGACTACCTATATAAGTTCATACTTTACCCCTATTCAACCATTTATACATCGAATTTTTGTACAAAAAGTACCAATAATTATATAATAATCACTACAAAAAAAATGAGAATAGGCAATACTTAAGATTGCAACACTTATAGAAATGTTATTCTTAATAATGCAACGCAACAATACTTATTTGTTACCTTGAACTAAAGTAACAGGAAAAAAAAAGTGTTGCTCTAGACTATATAAGGAAACAGTTGCTTAAAGTGTTACCTTTTTCTTGTCTAAGACAACAAATATAATAATTGTTGCATGAAAAGATAACAATAACAAAACTATTGTTTGAAAAATGTAACATTAATATCTATATATATGAGCAAGTTTGGTAAAGTTGGTGGGGAACTAACCTTGTGACTCTGAGGTCACAAGTTCGAGCCCTACTAACTACTAAATGCTTGGGATTGACAACATTTTTGAATTATCTTCTTAGATGGCAACATTTTTCATTTGTTGTCTTTGTTAAAGTGTTGCCTTAT